TAAAAATTTTAAATAAAATCAAAATTTAAAACATTTTAATTTTGAACTTACGAAAAGTCACAGTTGTTAAACAACAAGGTTCACGTACTATGAGATCTGAATATACATCTGTAGATATATCATTTATTCTTTTCATATTGTACTTATTCTCATTCTGTCTAATCAATTTCCACACAAACCCATGGAATGACATAACTAATATTCCATTAATCTAGAAAATATACTAATTAGCAAAATAATACTATGTTTTTTTTTTTTTTTTTTTTTTTAATGTATTAATAGAAAATTAAAACCTTAATAAGAGATTTCATAAATTCCAATTTGTCACACGGTACACCAGCTTCACAATAAACCCTATCATAGTAACCCGCTGATAATAATTCACAAGCATTTCCTATATTAATAATTTATACAAACATTATTTTTTTAAAACATTGTTTTTACATGTATTCAATATACCATGGATAAAAATCGGTTCACAAAAGTCAAAATGATCTACTGCAGCAGAATTCATATTAAATTCTGCTAACTTTTCCCGTGCCAAATCTACGAATCTTTCATTAACTTCAATTCCATGATTAACGCCGTTTTTACCTAAAAAGATAAAATGAAATTATGATATCACTTAATAAGAAAAAATCCAATAAGATTGAATTTTAATATTAATTAGTCTGTTAAAAAAGAAAACCAATTTGAAGATTTTACATACATAAATACATAATTGTAAAGTTTAAAAATTACCTATCAATAGACCAGCCAATGTACTGAAATAAGGTTAAGGTCTAGGCTACAAATTTTTAAACACAGGTCTTGATAGCTGTAAATTATTTAGACATTCAACAGCAAATAAGTTTTCCCAAATTTTAACCCATCTGGTTGATTCCAATTGGTTTTGATTTCCTTCAATGTCCATATAAGATCTAAAATCAACAGATCTTAAAGCTTTTTCTTCGTTGGTGTTCTTTATCATTTTAGTCGATACCAAATAATTTAAGAGTTTATCATGACAGTAATATAAACTTTCCAATTCATCCATTTTAATCGTTTGTTGTACAGTTTAAATTGAAAATCTAAATATAAATCAGTACATTTTGTTAGTGTTGTTTATTATAATTAAATATAAAACAAAATTATACAAAAACCAAATAAGCATGCATTTAATTGTTTTTAAATTTGCCCAACTCTATAAAAATTAGTAAATAATATTTTTGCTGTGTAAAATAGATGACAAGAGAATTTCAATGAGTCTTAAAGTTAGGTTCTACAAAAGTGTGGTGAGAATGACTATGCTGTATACTTTAGAGTGTTGGGCGGTAGACCGAAAAATAAAACAAGGCATGAATGTAGCAGAAATGAGAATGGTTAGGTAAAGAGTGGAGTAACTAGAGTAGATAGGGTATTAGGAGATGTAAACATAATAGGTAGCGTAGGCGTGGCATTGATAATAGACGAAATGAAGCAGTAAGAATTGTAATACAAAGAGACGTAGGAGCTTTGAGCTGGCAAAGAAGTGGTAGGGTGCGATCGAGAATTATATTAGATTAGCTGTTGTTACGAGGTGGGAGTTCATTTCAATTGGAAATTTATAACGGGGGTGGCGGTTACATATATTTGTGATGAAAGCGAAGGAGAAGAAACTTTTGTAGAATAATACAATCTATATATGTCATAATTAGCTAAGTACTTACTTTGAGTTTCAGATCTCAAACTGGTGACCAGAATATTTGATTATTAATTTTATGTTATAAAGTATTAGTTACTCGCATCATGACTCAGTATTAATTATTGTGATACACGTAACAGTGTTATACGAAGTTCTTATGACCATATGGTCTAGAATAAGTACAGTGTCGCCAGGTAAAAATTCTTGAAAGTCTACTATAACACCCAAAAATCCTCGTTTATCCTGCTAGTCAACCTAAAAATCCTTGGATTTCCTGCAATTTTTTTTTGTACTTAATTATGGTTCACTTATGTAGGTATACCATTTGTTTAATTAATTTATCTACATTGTGAAACCTATTATCTACCATAATATATTCAGCATAACCACAGTACATGATAACTTTTGATATTGAAACTTTATTCATACCGATTGCCGGGTTCGCACTGTACCGTATCGTGTCGTATTGTGTAAAATAATTTTCTCGGATTGGCTTAAGCATATGGTTACATTCAGGTATATTTTTATCCCATCAACCAAATGATAACGCAAAGTTGAATATATATTCAATTTTTGACGGAGTAGTTACATCTTTAGAAAAATAATAACTAAAAAAAATTGATAACATGTTATCATCAGGTAGTAATAACCATATTTCAATGAACAGATCAATTAATTAATTATTAATATTCAAGTATACAGTACTCTAGAGTGCAGACAACGCCGCTTGTCAAAGTAGATACTAAATATATAATTTAATATAATTACATATAAATTTAATATACAGAAAAAAAGTTCATTATTTTCATATTCCCATACCATTTTCGTTTGAGTGCTACTAACNTTCTAGATTTTCAATTTACAGTTTTGCTATTCTAGCTCTTTTGCTGTGTTGAAATCGAACATCCATAATGAAAGCGCACGATATTAACGATTTTTAAATAATTTTAAAAAAAACATCACATTACTCAATTTTTTTTTTTTTTTTTGACAAGTTACAATTTATAATGAACTTCTTTTTAAACAATTTTATTCGTAGACTATCTAATAAATAAAAATTATGTAAAAAAAACCTTGCAAAATTTAAATGTCTATAAATAGCTCAAAAATTAACATGTTTTAAAAATTAGAATACTCCTAGAAAATAAAATTAAAAGTTATCTGTCAAATGTAAAATATTTATAAATATTTTATCTGAATAACAACTAAAAATAATAAAATAATTATTACCATATATTTTTTTTTCAGTTACATTATTATTAAAAAAATTACTCAGAAAATCAAAAACTCTTTTATCCAATAACTAAGTATCTGATAGGCGGCATTATAAGGGAAATATGTATCAACATTTTCAGCAACAATTTTTCATATTTTTTTTGAGGTTATTTTTTTGTTTTTGTTGACTTTTGAATTCCCTTATCAACATGTTTTTATGTTAGAAACAAATGTTTATGAAAATACCTGTATTTGCCTGTAACTATATGCGCTGGATAAAATTTCAAAAAAAAAAAAAATTGAATATTATGTGTTAAATTTGTATTTGCTTAGAAGTTAGATTGTTAAAATATAAAAGGTGTTCAATTTAACTATTTAATTAGGTATCATACAAAATCGGTATAAGAAAAATATAAAATACCCCATGTTAGACACAAGATGATATAGTATAGTCCGCCCCAAAAATATTGATAAGATTACCAGTATGAAAAGTGTTATATTAATATTATTCAACATAAACAATAAATAAATAATCATTTTTATATAATTTGTTAATCATTCAAATTCAAAATAAATAAAAGATATATATGCAAATAGTTGTTTAAAGTGAACATAGTTTAGATAATTTTCCCACAATGCGCATAAGTCATTTGATTTTCCATTTAAGCTTGATTTCATCAACAGCCAGTGTATAAATATAAGTTAAGAAAAGAAAAAATAAGTTTAGGTAATCTTTAGAAGATTAAAGTACGCATGGAAATTTATGAATAAGACAGTTATAATTTAATCGTGTTTAATTCATTAATTATATTAGTTAAACTTCTTAAATATGATCAATCAAATTACGATATATATATATATAAGTATAGTTTAGGCTAAACTAATATTAAAATCAACTATTGCTATTAAAATTGATTGTAGTTTTATCAAACCAGTAAATACAAAATTATTTTTTGTGCATTTCATTTTATCGATGATTCATTGAAATTTATACAAAATTTAAGTGCATTTAGACCTTAAGAAAAAAATGTAAAAGTTTAACAAAATGAACTATATAGATATTATAACTATATTTGCATCACATATTGTCTTTTGTGGGCATAATAGTAAATATAATTTGGATTCAAATAAATGAATATAAACAAACAAATTATATTACTACTTATTATTATTACTTCTTAATATTAAGAAAAAATTGTAAAAGTTTAACAAAATGAACTATATAGATATTATAACCATATTTGCATTACACATTATCTTATGTGAGCATAATAGTAAATATACTTTAGATTCAAATAAATTAATAATGAACAAAAAATTATATTGCTAACAAGATTTTTTTTCATAAACAATCACATGGCTATGGTGACCAGACATACTCTTTATTGATAGGTTAATTGTCCTTAACAATAGTTTTAAGTACATGAAATTGTACTCTTTTTTTTTGAAAATTATAAATAATAAATATGTAGGAAACATATATTAATAGTTATTAATAGTTTTGTATTTATATTTATCTTTACAATTTAATTTAAATATGTATATTTTAGTTCTACACTTAAAATTACTTCAATTTTAAAGTATTTTCACCATAAAGACAGAAACGAAACAGTTGACACTATGATTCAAATTAATAATTAGATTTTATATTTGGTAATAGAAAAAATATTAATAGAGTAACATTAGCCAATTCTTTCAAGGGAGCGGTATTTTACAAGGGAGGACCTAAATTTTAAAATGTACTTTTTTTTGGATTTTTATATCTGGTCACCATACATATGATGTACGTAAGTAGTATTATTTTTTTAAATAATAACTAGTTAATCGATCCGGTTGTAGTTCAGGAAATCTTTCAGCTGAGTCGGTAATGATAACGAGTATATTTTTTCTTTTAAACATCTACTTAACTTGTTGACTCTGTAGTCTTTTATGAAATGATAAGTTGTTGTGTCATGGGGAGCTCCACTATCATTTTCTTTCTTAGCTTCGGTGTCATTTCCACTTTTATCTAAATTGCCAAACAATCAAAGTATAAAAGATACTCAGCTAGTACTATAATTATTATTTAACACCAATAATTTAATCATACCATTTTTTTCCACTAAACAACCAAAAGCGCGTGTATAAATGCGTGATGTACCAGCAGTAGAGTGAATGTTAATTCCTTGCATTATTCTTAATAATGATATATAATCTACAATGAAATTTACATCAAAAGCAGACTTTATTTTAGCTTTATCTTCTTCACAAACTAGTTGTTGTTCACTATTTAAATTGATGCACTTAGTGCGTATTTCCAATTCAGGCCTTTCTTTTTGCAAGTTTTGGCGTATTGATGAACGAATTGTATTTCTACACAACTCTTGCAAAGTTAACGGTTTAACAGGAGCTGCAAAATAGTAAAATTTTTAAATAAAATCAAAATTTAAAACATTTTAATTTTCAACTTACGAAAAGTCACGGTTGTTAAACAACAAGGTTCACGTACTATGAGATCTGAAAATGCATCTGTAAATAAATCATTTATTCTTTCAACATTGTACTGATACTCATTTTGTCTAATTAATTTCCACAGAAACCCATCGAATGGCATAACTAATATTCCATTAATCTAAAAATAGGCAAAATAATTTTATATATGTTTTTTTTTTTTTTTTAATGTACTTAATAGAAAATAAAAACCTTAATAAGAGATTTCATAAATTCCAATTTGTCATGTGGTACAAGAGCTTCACAATAAACCCTATCATAGTAACCCGCTGATAATAATTCACAAGCATTTCCTATATTAATAATTTATAAAAACATTATTTTTTTAAAACATTCTTTTTACATGTATTCAATATACCATGGATAAAAATTGGTTCACAAAAGTCATAATGATCTATTGCAGCAGAATTCAAATTAAATTCCGCTAACTTTTCCCGTGCCAAATCTATGAATCTTTCATTAACTTCAATTCCATGATTAACACCATTTTTACCTAAATAGATAAAATCAAACTATGATATCACTTAATGAGAAAAAATCCAATAAGATTGAATTTTAATATTAATTCGTCTGGTAAAAAAGAAAACCAATTTGAAGATTTTACATACTTAAATACATAATTGTAAAGTTTCAATATTACCTATCAATAGACCAGCCAATGTACTGAAATAAGGTTAAGGTCTAGGCTACAAATTTTATTTGTGTCCAGAACTTAGCTGTAAATTATTTAGAGATTTAACAGTAAAGAATACGTTTTCCCAAATTTTTAACCATCCGGTTGATTCCAATTGGTTTTGATTTCTTTCAATGTTGAAATAATATCTACAATCAACAGATCTTAAAACTTTTTCTTCGTTTATGGTCTTTATCATTTTAGTATCTATCAAATAATTTAAGAGTTCGTCATAGTTGTGATATGAACTTGCCAATTCATCCATTTCAATTGTTTGTTGTATAGTTTAAATTGAAAATCTAAATATAAAACAGTACATTTTGTTAGTGTTGTTTTTCATAATTAGTTATAAAGAAAATTTTTATAAAAACCAAATTAGTAAGCAATTAATTGTTTTAAATTTTAAATAACTCTATGCAAATTAGTAAATAACATTTTTAATGTGTAAGAGAGGTGACAAGAAAATTTCAATGAGTCTTAAAGTTAAGTTCTACAAAAATATGGTGAGAGTGACTATGCTGTATAGTTTAGAGTGTTGGGTAGTAGACAGAAAAATAAAACAAGGCATGAATGTAGCAGAAATGAGAATGGTTAGGTAAAGAGTGGAGTAACTAGAGTAGATAGGATATTAAGAGATGAGAACATAATAGGTAGCGTAGGCGTGGCATTGATAATAGACAATATGAAGCAGTAAGAATTGTAATGCAAATAAACGTAGGAGCTATGAGCTGGAAAAGAAGTGGTAGGATGCGATTGAGAATTATATTAGATTAGCTGGTGTTACGAGGTGGGAGTTCATTTCAATTGGAAATTTAGAACGGGGGTGGCGATTACATATATTTGGGATGAAAGCGAAGGAGAAGAAACTTTTGTAGAATAATACAATCTATATATGTCATAATTAGCTAAGTACTTACTTTGAGTTTCAGATCTCAAACTGGTGACCAGAATATTTGATTATTAATTTTATGTTATAAAGTATTAGTTACTCGCATCATGACTCAGTATTAATTATTGTGATACACGTATCAGTGTTATACGAAGTTCTTATGACCATATGGTCTAGAATAAGTACAGTGTCGCCAGGTAAAAATTCTTGAAAGTCTACTATAACACCCAAAAATCCTCGTTTATCCTGCTAGTCAACCTAAAAATCCTTGGATTTCCTGCAATTTTTTTTTGTACTTAATTATGGTTCACTTATGTAGGTATACCATTTGTTTAATTAATTTATCTACATTGTGAAACCTATTATCTACCATAATATATTCAGCATAACCACAGTACATGATAACTTTTGATATTGAAACTTTATTCATACCGATTGCCGGGTTCGCACTGTACCGTATCGTGTCGTATTGTGTAAAATAATTTTCTCGGATTGGCTTAAGCATATGGTTACATTCAGGTATATTTTTATCCCATCAACCAAATGATAACGCAAAGTTGAATATATATTCAATTTTTGACGGAGTAGTTACATCTTTAGAAAAATAATAACTAAAAAAAATTGATAACATGTTATCATCAGGTAGTAATAACCATATTTCAATGAACAGATCAATTAATTAATTATTAATATTCAAGTATACAGTACTCTAGAGTGCAGACAACGCCGCTTGTCAAAGTAGATACTAAATATATAATTTAATATAATTACATATAAATTTAATATACAGAAAAAAAGTTCATTATTTTCATATTCCCATACCATTTTCGTTTGAGTGCTACTAACATTGTAATAATACTTTTTTTATTTAAAAAAAAAATCTATACACAAAGTACGGATTTTATGTTTTTAGATTTCAAATTTAATAATTTTATAATTATCAAGCTCAATATTCGTATTATTGATAACAATCATTGGTATCAGTGGTATTGTGTATTTTAGAAAACGCTTGTCATGAATATACACGATAATAAAAGCACCGCACCACACGACACTGCTTAGTGTGTAACCGCTATCAGAAATTAATAATATCTAATCATTTTTTTAAAAATAATTGCAAGTATTTAGTCTTTTGGCCTTAGGTATATTATCAAAGAAAGCCAGCCTGAAACAAAGATATATTTTATAATAAACTAGATTGCTAACTAGCCGATATCATGTGTTCTTAAATCCTGCTAGTCCAGCGGATTGCATTGCTCAGCTGATTGAAAGAGTTTAGGAACAATCTTTTTATTATTAATTTTGGAACATATCGGTTAATAGTATTATTTAAGATTACCAATAGGCTATAATCACACATGTTTTATTCATATTATTTTTCATTAGTTTCATCGTAGACATACTAAAAATTTGCTAGTACAGACCGGTGTACCGATACATTTTGTACTGGTTTACTAACACTTGATAACAATTAATTTACACCAGTTTGGTGGGTTACACCAATACACGAGGTTTATGATAAGGTAAAAAGTAACGTATATTTACAACATAAAAACATAATACAAATGATCGCCAGCTGACGGCTTTTGACGGAAATACAGGCGAGCACGCAATAATTAAAACAACATTAGTGGTAAAAATCAATTATACATAAAAATAATTCGGAGTCGGAGAACAATACTTCGCGTATGGCGTCGGNAACGCTTGTCATGAATATACACGATAATAAAAGCACCGCAACACAGGATACTGCTTATATCACATGTTCACGGTATTGTTAACTTACCCGTCCCTGATACTTCAAACCTCTTATTTTCTGAAAGATTTGATCAGATTATATTTCCTGCATCAACCTGGGTTGAATACAGTCACGGATTTGTTTCAAGTAATCGATGCTGGTAATTCTGATAAAAAATTTTTTGTTGAGAATACGCTAGTACGAATATACCGTCTAATGCTGCATTAATAATAGATATTAGGTTGTGAGTTTCGAATTTATTGAGCAACATTTCAAACAATATCCTTGTTCGTTTAGTTTTTTTCTAAATGTCACCTTATCGATGTTCTGAGCATCTCTAGCCATTTGGTGTTGGAGATATTTGAAATTTTCTTTAAATTTGTTCTTATGTTCTGCTAATTGATGTACTGTTTAATTTCCCTCTGTGAACTGCACTTTTGCAATTCTCATATGTTCTGACACCAAATTTAAACCTTCTAGTTTTCTTTTTCCCAGTTCTATGATTTTGTCCACTATGAATTCGACGTCGAGTTTTGAGCATGCTCTGTACAAAATGTTGGTCATACATTTGATAGCATGTGACATCCCATGTCGCTTCCGATTATTTGGCTTATAGCCAATTGCTGACATTAAACTGCGAAAGTTGGACTCGATTCGAAAAGGTAAGGTATGGTCACTCGATTGAACTGTGGTACAAATATCTTAAACACGCTCGAAAGTTCTAATGAATGATCTGTATTATTGCAAATTTGCAATGTCGCTTGGTATTGATCCATAAGCTGTTGATGTTCAGTGGTTTATGTCTGAAGGTCTACATATGATACCAAATCCTAATTAACATTGGATAATCTGACCTGACCTTCATTCTGATAGTACAGTCCTTGATGACTGTTAAAATTCTCAATTTTAAAGGTCTGTGCTCTGATGCTCTGTATGGTTATCAACGCTGGCAAAAGGTTCTGCAATATCATTCTTCTGAAACACAGATTCGCTGTAGTTATTGTAGAAATGGTTTTAATAGGTTTTGATGAATAGTCCCTTCCTAATCTTTTCCCTCGCTTCTTTACAACAACTTTTTTCCATATAGGATCTATGTCAAAAATGTCGAATGACCCAAACCATTTCGGTGCTAATTTGTTCTTAGATGTCTTGTCTAACATCAAGACTTTATCTCCTATGCTAAAGCTCTGCTGTTTTGAATTTCTATCATAATGCTCTTTAGATTTTTCCTTAGCGTTTAACAAATTTTTCCTTGCTATTGCTTCAGATTCTTGCATCTGTTTCTTTATTTCATACTGATAATCATTATAATTATATTGAAGTTCTGGGTCATTTTTCATAGAAGTGGGAATGACAACTGGGTGTCCATAAACTAAATGGTATGGCTGAAACTTTGTAGCTGAATGGATTGTGGAATTATGGAAAAACATTACGTATGGTAATTGCGTATCCTAATTTTGTGGTTCCTTTTAAATGAAGTTCCTTAAATACTCTGCTAGTGTACGGTGGCTTTTTTTAAGGCCACCGTTACTCTGTGGGTGATAGGGTGTGGTTGACGTCTGACAAATTTTTAGAAGTTTACACACATCTTTGAATGTGTTACCACAGTACCACAATCGGTTACAAGACTCTGGGGTAGACCATGTATACATACAAATTGAGTTACAAAATGATGTGCTACTGTATTGGCTTCATGATTTACCATAGGGGGAGCCCATGCAAATTTAGTCAAATCATCCTGTAATGTTAGAATGAACAAATTCCCGTTATGTGACCGCGTTAAAGGTCTCACAACATTGAGGAATATTTTGCTATTTTGTTTCTTTGACACATGGTACATTGTTTAACATATTGCTTGATTTGCTTCCGCATACCTTTCCAATAATGTTCGGCGTAGAATTTATTCAATTTTCCGGTTATTCTTAAATGTCCTCCCAAAGGATTTTCATGGATTTCCTTAATTAACTGGATTTTTTTTTCTGCTGTTAATTTATTCATTGTATACACATAAATGTGGATATCCGAGTTCCTGAAAATATGCCTGATCATGTTACGTATAGTTTCCCACTGTAAACCATGCAATCCACATCCAACTCTAGGACATACCAGACTGTTTATTTTCAACTGTATACATAACTTAAGGTTCTGTAAATTCACATAGATCGATTTGTACGTGGATTTTCGCCAATAATATTCTTTCTTTACTAAATAGAATATGGTTCTCTGTTCATGCTTTTAATATGCTAATTCTGTTCTTGTAATTCAATATTATAATTATTATAATTCAATACTAGAATATTAGTTAAATTATGATAGTGACTATCAGCGACTGCAAAAGTTTTAACACAAACACTATTTTCGATTAGAGTCGCCGGCTGCGGCGGCTCTAGTTCAGTTGCGAGCCGCGCCGTGCATTGGAAACCAGTCTATAGGCACTATGTGTAAACACTGGTCATGCAAAAGCCGCTGCCATGGAAATCGTACCTTTAGAAGGTTTTTGATTTGCGAAATTATGAATCTAAATTAAGAAATCCCAGACAATCAGGTGCCGTAATAATGGACAGTTACACGTTTGTCTATAATTCGATTAATGAACTGATTCACATCATTGCATAGTTTAAGCTTTGGTCCTGATTTCCACAATATAATTTCTGTGTATTATATACCACTTCTTTCCATATAAGGTTGAAAATTTATAATGATATTATAGTATAAAACAAATGACACAACGTAATTGAAAATCGGTCACCAAGTTAATAATATATTATTGTTTGGTAGCCCTGAAAAGGGCCTTTTTAATTCTTTATTTAAGAAGTCTCATCGAAATAGTTACCTTATTTAGAACTAGTGTACTTGGTCACAGCCTTGGTGCCTTCACTAACGGCGTGCTTGGCCAATTCTCCAGGCAACAACAAGCGGACGGCGGTTTGAATCTCCCGACTGGTTATTGTGGAACGTTTGTTGTAGTGTGAGAGACGACTAGATTCGGAAGCAATACGCTCGAATATGTCGTTGACGAAACTGTTCATGATGCTCATGGCCTTCGACGACACTCCGGTATCGGGATGCACCTGCTTCAGTACTTTGTAGATGTAAATACCGTAAGATTCTTTCCTCTTGGGCTTGCGTTTCTTGTCAGATTTAGTAATGTTCTTCTGAGCCTTCCCAGACTTCTTCATTGCTTTGCCTGCGGATTTAGCTGGTGGAGCCATCTTGAGTTACTGAAATGTTATGCTGAGAAGAGAAGAAGTCAAGATGAAAAATACCATTTTCCACCGATATTTATACTAAAAATACGTTAATTTACTTTGTTAAGCATATTTAATATATTAATTTTGTTGAACAAAAACAACATATTTTGTAATACAATTTTAAAATAAATAATGTTGTTTTAGCTTATTATTTCAGTAATATTCTTTAGACCAATTGTAATAATCGTAGTATTATATTTTAAGTATATATAAATCCAAATTGAACGCCGGCACTTTATCATTACTGTTTTTGTTACTCGAAACTTCATTCCGACAACTACGAATCAGCAATCATGAGTGGACGTGGTAAAGCAGGTAAAGCCAAGGGCGGCAAGTCCTAAACCAGATCGTCTCGCGCTGGACTCCAATTCCCCGTCGGTCGTATTCACCGTCTGTTGAAAAAAGGAAACTACGCGGAACGTGTAGGTGCTGGTGCGCCGGTCTACCTAGCTGCCGTCATGGAGTACTTGGCCGCCGAAGTTTTGGAATTAGCCGGTAACGCTGCCCGCGACAACAAGAAGAGTCGTATCATTCCCAGACATTTACAACTAGCTATCAGAAACGACGAAGAGTTGAACAAATTGTTGAACGGTGTAACCATCGCCCAAGGTGGTGTGTTGCCCAACATCCAGGCCGTTCTTTTACCCAAGAAGACTGATAAAGCAAAGACTGCTTAATCGTCACACCCCTACCATTTGATTCTCACCCTTTAAAACGGCCCTTTTCAGGGCCTACTAATTTGTTTTTGCATATTCATGAAATGTTATTATGTTGGGTGTCATCAATAATCATAAGATATTTTTTTATTATCTGAGAAGAGTACCTTCGTGTTTGTTAACAGTTGTATAATCGTCATTTTTAGTGATTATTAGCACCAGATATTTTAATTAATACTTAGACCACATGAATGATATACATTTAAATTTTAAAACACAAGTCTTTCGGAAATACCGAAATATTTGATCAAATACACCATTAGATGTAGATAATGTAGATACAACTGGCGTAGTAATATTTATAATTAAGATATAAACGGCGTTACAATATAGTAACGCCGTCATAGTCATCATATGATCAATAGATCATAATTTTTCCCTGAGAAAAATGTCTACATAGGTACTATGATTTCTTTTGGGTGTAGTCCGTTCATGTTATTATGTACTGACCGTATTGATGTAATTAGTTATAATTACAATGATTATGGCTTTTGTTTTATTCTCTTTATAGTAATTACTACTAACTGTAAAAGCCATTCGGTGTTAATTAATAAATAATAGATAATAATAACAAAGGATTTAAAAATCAAACCCTTTAAGACAAGCCGTGAAAAGAATGTCAACATAATAATTCCACATACTCAAATTAAACTCCTATGTTAATGATTAGTGGTGAACATCATGTATACATTCATTGTTAATATTTTTTCATAATAATTTTTGAAAAAATGTTGAAACACTTAATAAAAATTGATAAATATTTATGGCGTACGATTTCGTGATTTTAAAATTTTGTCATTTATGTTTTCTAATTTTGCCTTCTTAGATATTGATAGATATTTTAATTTTGCGACTTTTTTTTACATAATTTGTATTTGGTATGATACAATTGTTAGACTAAGTAGAAAAACTAAAAAATAAAATGGTTCATTTTAAGATGTATTTTGATGTAAAAAAAAAGAAGAAATTGAGTTTGATGTAGTATTTTATTTTTTTTATAAAAATGGTAATATCAAATTTTGACGAAAATCATAAATATTTTTCAAGTTTGTCTGAACATCTTGAAACATGACATGGTGCATATAATAAAAATGAATCGTAAGAGTGTGCAATTTGCTATTATTTTACAATAATTGAAAGTGAATAAAGCTGGTTAGCAGTTGCCAATCAATCGTGACAACACTGATGAGTACTCCATAATACATAAAATTATGTATTATGATAATAACAATATTATTATCTATTCGTAGTTAGTGAATAGTGATATTACCTATTTCAGTTTTAAAAAATAAGAACAGTGTTACCGATGATTGATTTATTCTATAACTTTGAACGTTATTAAATCGGTCCGTCTAGCTGAATCGAATCATTTACGAAATACTCATCTCAATGAATAGATGATCCTCACATATGTGATCGAATATTTATATTTACTTTATTTGGCTTAAAATGTTAATGAACGGGGTCTGATGATACCGACTTCTTTTTTGAGACGGTTTATAAAATTTAAATAGTTCAAGAATGATAAAATTGTTAATTGATATAAACTAAGTACGGAAGTAGTGAGAACATCAATTGCATACGACGGCGTTTTCGACAAATTAAGGGAATCTAAAAAAACCAGTTAATAACTATAATTCATGTAAGTTATTATTGTGATAACTTAGGATATGGAGCAATTTAATAAAATTTAATCAGTTATTATAATCTATTGTTAGTGGCCCTGAAAAGGGCCGTTTTAAAAATATAATTATAATAGTAATATCAAATAATAATTAATTAAGCACGTTCTCCGCGAATTCGACGGGCCAGTTGAATATCCTTCGGCATGATGGTAACACGTTTTGCGTGGATAGCACACAAATTGGTGTCTTCGAACAATCCGACCAAGTACGCTTCACTGGCTTCCTGTAACGCCATTACGGCGGAACTCTGGAAACGCAAATCGGTTTTGAAATCCTGGGCGATTTCACGGACTAACCGTTGGAAAGGCAGTTTGCGGATCAGCAGTTCGGTACTCTTCTGGTACCGACGGATTTCCCGAAGAGCGACAGTACCAGGACGATAACGATGCGGTTTCTTCACTCCGCCGGTCGCTGGTGCGCTCTTACGCGCTGCTTTCGTGGCCAACTGCTTTCTCGGGGCTTTGCCACCGGTTGATTTACGGGCTGTTTGCTTGGTACGTGCCATGATAATTGGAAAAAAACAAATAAATTTGAAGTTCAACGACTAGATGATTGAAAATAACTGAACAACACAACAAGGAACGGCTAATATATATATAANGGGAGGGGAGAATTTCGGTTTATGTTCCCATTGGTCCAATCGTCGACTAAAATGTATAAAAGTGACTGACATTTCATAACGGGTTTATTTGGTGAACAAGTTTCGCTTCAAGCACTGTTCAATACTATCGACTATTTACAATGACAGGACGCGGTAAAGGAGGAAAAGGTCTCGGCAAGGGTGGAGCGAAGCGGCATCGTAAAGTACTTCGTGATAACATTCAAGGAATTACAAAACCCGCCATTCGTCGGTTAGCTCGTCGCGGCGGTGTGAAGCGTATCTCCGGTCTTATTTATGAAGAAACCCGAGGCGTCCTCAAGGTCTTTTTAGAAAATGTAATTCGTGATGCCGTCACTTACACTGAACACGCCAAGAGAAAGACAGTAACCGCCATGGACGTTGTTTATGCTCTGAAGCGCCAAGGTCGTACCCTATACGGTTTTGGAGGTTAAGACCAGACATTTGAGTAACTTAACGACACTCAGTACTCTATACTTATAGTAATTGGTAAAATTAGTGGAAAGTGTTCCTCCATTAATTCAATAAGGTCTTAGTTTTAATTTTTAAAACGGTCCTTTTCAGGGCCACAATTATGCATAATATCTGTTATCTTGATATAAACACGCGGTAGTCTACTATTCTCCTTACTTTTGGGCTATATTAAGAGACCCTCCCGAATTTCGAATATTACATTATAATATATTACATATATTACAAT